TTGTATAGTTTTAACTACTGTAATCCAAGAAAGTATCATTGTGATAAGTGACTTGGAGTAGGTTTTAATTGTAAGGGTTGTGTATCACTCAAAGCTTTGAAGCACGAGTATTTGTGTCACTTGATTAAAGCTTTGAAGCAAGGTCAAGTTAGGTTTATGTATCACTCAAAGCTTTGAAGCACGAGTGTTTGTGTTACTTGATTAAAAGCTATGAAGCATAATCAAGTGTATGTTCTGAAGAGTGTCTTCATAATTTCATTAGTCAATTGTTTAGTATCACTACTGTGATTGAGGAGGAGTGAGTAGGAACTCAGGTTTAAGTTGAACTTAGATTGAAGTTGCATTGGGTAGGTCTTAAGTGAAGGAGATAAACTGGTTGGTTTATTCCTGAATTAATATCTCTTATAGTGAATTTCCTCCCTGACTTGGTAGCCCCCAGAGTAGGTGTTGTTTCACACTGAACTGGGTAAACAATTGACTGTGTTCTTTACTGCTTTTTGATTTACTGTCTTATAGAAAGTCAGATACGGTGTCATAACATTCACTGTGACATTGAGTATCTGCTGCCAGAATTTCAGTATTATTCTATTATATTTTCAAACAAGAATCAAAGTTTGTTCTACAAGATCCAAGCACATCTTTCTTGACCTAATCATCTCTTATAAATACTCTTCTCATTCAGACAAGGGAGATCACGAAAAATCTTGCAAGAACACACCCTTCAAATCTTTATTATTTGTCAAACTAGGGCAAACTTGAAAATCGTTTTCCAGCCCTTTCCAAAGCAAACCAACCACTCAAATCAATCCCTGAGACATTATAGGGTAAGACTTGATCGTTTTTGATGATCAAAGAGGCTTGAAACATGCACATGAAGCATCACCGATTTCCCTATTTTCATGCATTTTGATTTTTAATTTTTACCATGCTTTAATCCATACTAATCATGTTAATGTGTTTCTGAGATGTAACAATACATGATTAGACCCTTGCATGAGTCCCATAATGCCCAGATAGCTTAGCATCATGTTTAGACTGATTTACATTATTTTATTCGTATCTCTTTATACGGGAAGAATTAGCCAAAGTTAAGGCCATCATTGAATTCACAACCCTCAAATTAGGGGGTTATGCTCTTCCTTGATCACTTATGTTTGTTATTTTGTAGGTTACAAGAAAATACCTCACTCGAGAAGACGACTGGAGCTAGGGCTCCGGCGCTTCTCCAATCCATCTGATGATGTTTATAATATATTTATGTTGTTTTATTTTACTACTGGATGTAACAGTCACCCCAGTGACAAGCGTGTGCGTACAAAAGCTCTTCTTACCTCAAAGGCGTGGGTTCGATCTCTGCCTTTTGCAATCTTTTTTGTTATTTTCCAATTTACGTGAGTTTTCTATATAATATGCAACGCTTATTTCCTAACACAACCAGCGCGTTGGCTGGGTGGCAAGCAAGGCAGTGTGAAATCAGAAGGGCATAAATTCAACACTCATCCCATGCAGTTTTACATTTTTTTTTCTTTTTAACCTTATTTCTTTTAATTACTTACCCTAATTTTTTCTTAACCCTAATTATTTTTCTTAATTAACTATTAATCAATTTTAATCTTTTTTTCAAAACCCAAATAAATTAGATTTAAATTTTCAATCAATAATTAATTTTGATATTTTTTTTATTTACTAATTAATTAAGTTAATAAATATTTTCTTGAAATTAAAATTAATTAGACTTTAGGATTTTTATTAATTAAAATTAATTAGATTTAGGGTTTTAACTATTTAACTAACATCAAATCAATTTCATAAAAAATCACATTAAAACATTTTTTAAACATCTTTTATTTCGCATTTAAATTTCTAGAGAAATTGTATAGGTCACACGACTTTTTCTTGTAATAGTTTAGCTTTATCTTTTCGCATTTTTCCTATTATGTAACTGCTTACGGGATGTAATAATCTAGGGTTTTATTTCCTTACTTTATTTTCCGCATCTTTTTTATGTAATTGCCCCAAAGCCCTATAAAAGCTTAGGATTTACTTTCCGCACATTTATCTTTCTGTATATATTCAACTGCTAGTAACTAGGCATGTATCACAAGATCTAAAAGCAATCGATAGATAACCCTAATACAAGATAAATAACTGAAATGAATACATTATTCACACTTGCAACTTTAGGGTAACCTTTCTTGTTGCCTTCGATATTGGTCGTGTCTCTCGAAAGTGGGGATACTTTAGCAAAAGACTCTCGATCAAATCATCGTTGTCCCTTTCAAATAAAGATCATAATTCCTCGACGACCCTTCGAGTTGCCTACAAAATGATCTAGTTCGTACGAATAAATGATGATAGTCCCTCCGATATAATTGCTAAAGTATCCTTACATGTTGTCTTCGATGACCATATGATGACCCTACGCATGTCCCTTTACATCCAATAGATAGGACTACCTACCAACTAATGATATGAATGAAACTATCTCTAAAGGAGAAGGAAAATAACAAGAAAGACCTTTAGTGTATAAGAACTCCTAAGTTCTTGCTCACAAACAAAAACATTTCTCATACTACACTTTCGAACAAATATTTTCAAAAAATACTTTGTACGCGTTTTTGAGGACTGATACAAGAATCATTACAAAGTTAGCCGTACTTTGGCTGTTCAAAATATTTTCAAACAAATCACACACGAAAGCAATTTTTTTTTCAAAAGTGGGCTAAGCAATTAAGAGCCTATAGATAACTTCAGATGAAAAGGGTGATAATACCTTCCCTTTTCATAACTTATCCCCCGAACACAAAGTCTATCAAGGTCTTTCCTGTTCTTTTCAGCATTTCTTTATATTGAATAAAAGAAAAGTCGGTGGCGACTCTTACTATCTGCATATTTGGATAAAATCAAAAAAGTCAGTTCTCCCACCTTATTACAATTCGACAGATATAACCACAACTTCATTGTCAAATAGAGATTCGACCACAACGAGGGGCTTGCAAGACAAGAGTATAAGGTTATACTACCATCTCGTTGGTGCGATTGTGGAAATTTTCAAGTCTTTTGTATGCCTTGCTCTCACGTCATTGCGGCATGTACATATGCTCATCAAGATGCATTACTACTTATATCTCTCATTTACAAGGCCGAGACATTGCTCAGTATATACAATAATGACTTTCCAGTGGTAGCGAAATCAGATTATTGATCAGCATACGAAAGGAAAATAATTTGGCACAATGATCAAATGCGAAAGAATAAAAAGGATCGTCCCAAAAGCAAGTGTATCACAACTGAAATGGACTCCCTTAACAAGCTATAAAGAAAGTGTGGCTTATCCGTCAGGTAAGACACAATCGAAAAAAATCATCCCACTCGTGCTACTAGCTCGATGACATAAATATTGTATGCAAATCTCTATTTTTTTAAGATATAAACGAAATTTTCTTTCATTAAGAACATTTGTTACAACAAATCATATGCAAACAACAAATAAAAACACATCACGACTAAAACAACAAATGCAACACGTAAATATAACATCAACAACACGATAAAATATCTAAAAAAATAGAACCGTCAAAACAATTTCATCGAATCTGTGCATCATTATTATGTCTTCCAATCAAGAATAAGGTCTTCCAATTGCTACAAGTGAGGTGATTATTCTTCTTCTCTAGATCCTTCTAATTTGTTCCTTAACTACTATGTCTCCGTCTAACCATCACAACAACTCTCTATAAAATAATAACATACTCATCTCTGATGAAAATCATGAAAAATGTCATGATATAAAAAAAAGAAGAGAAAATGAGAAAAAAATGTGAGAAATGTGAAGAATGATAAAAAAAATAAGTGTTTAATTTATAGAAAACACACTTACATGTAAAAGTCATATCAGATGTCGCCTCCTCCCCATCTCACATGACATAAAAGAAGTGTATGTGCCACCAAGTGAGATTGCACCTAAGGCCAAAACTCTTATGCATGCAGCATCTATGCATACAACAACATCTATGATGACTACTGCATTATAATGTTTCTGAAATAGTTATTTGTATAATTTTCTCTGAAATATAGTTATTTATTTTTTAAAACATGATTATTGCTAAAAAAAAATCTATTATATATAGCAAAACATAGTACAAAATCCAGACATTATAACCGTGACTCGGGTGAGACAAAACTAAGGATAAATATTGAGATTTATTTATGGTATCCGGAAATACTGGAAAGGTAATCAATATATCATTGCATTGAAGTCATAGCTGAACTTGCATCACATTCACACAGCACAACTACTCAAAACCAAACATTTCCGTGACTACAAGTGGCTTCTATCTAAAGTAATGGAGACGACCCCAGCCACACAAACACAAGACATGTTAGTCTTTAAATACTCAAATTACAGGCCATGGAAGCTAATTATCACCATAAAAACAAATCGAAAATACCAAAAATAGATTAGATAACACGGGATCGATAAATAACACCATTTTTTTTCACCAAACAAGCAAGCCATTGAATACATTTGTCGTTGACGATTATACAAGCACAATCACAATAGTAAAAATCAGCATCCACATTGTCGTCGCAAAATTGAGTTGAGGTGACCATCAATCATCGAGCAAATTTACTTAAACTAATAAAGCATTAAAATACAGACTACAAAATCAGTTTAAAATAAAAACTATTTAAATCTAGAGCACTCATTCATGTTTCCAGAGAGTATCATCTCTTCTTCGGAAAGAAGCTTTGTTAGGTACTGCTACTTGTGTGTAGATACAGTTACCGTGTATGAAGTGAATTCTTTCGCAAACAGTTGTAAAAGATTGATGAATTGCCGCCACATGACTTCCAACTAATAACAAGAAGTTAGAACAACAAGTTAGAACATTCAGCCTACTTCGTGAAGAAAATCTGCATTAGATCACAACAGATAACATTATAAAGGTATAAGTTAGTACCATAATCCTCTCTTGATCAAGTGAAAGACAAAATCCTCAAAAGTCACGCTTTGGTCTACTTTCGGCAGGTGAGACCCGGATAGCTCTGCCATTCAAGTCCTGCAACCAATACAATATAATATCAGACTTTGGTGGTTAAATACATATGTAGCACCAACACCCCCAGATTAAAGGTGTGTCTGGTGTGAGACGTGAAAAAATCCTGCATTTATGTCTTCGAGAAAACACTGAAACATGACAGAAAAACCAAACCATAAACATTTGCAAAATATTCTTTTTGCATAGGGATTTGTGCTTACCGCGCCATCTAAGAATTCAATAGCACCGCTGACCTCTTCAGCACTACCGTAAGTCACAAATCCAAAGCCTTTAGATCTTCCACTTTCCCTATCATAGACTACCCTTGCCTCTATAACCTTTCCTTGTTCTTGGAACAATGACTCAAGTGCCAAGTTGTCAACACCCCAAGAAAGATTACCCACGTGAACGCGGTGTTCGCTATATGAACCACCTCTTGGAGGACCACCAAAACGAGAATTCTCACGAGGTGGAGGAGCTGGTCCAGAATTCACTCTCAATTCCCTTCCCTCCACTAGCTGTAAATTTTCCAACAAATATTTGCTCAGATATTATATACAATATAGCCAAATCCATTCAAGACATCACAATTATAGTAAAACATATTCACATTTCACATCATATAATTATAAACCAAATTATAAGAATTACAATGGATAAGATAAGGATAAGGTACTACTGTAGTCATCTCCATAGCCACATTTTACAAAAATACATGTACCCAAAATCATACATACACCTTTTAAAACCATACACCTAACCAACTGGATACCTAAATACAAGTAACTATTACTCAGCAATTCAACTAACTCTTAAAAAACATCAATACATAAACAAACCGTTGATTATACTCAATTTTAAAGTTTAATATTATAATTTTATACGGTTGTGTCAGCATAAGAGCAAATTGAGTACTATTGTACAAAACTCACATTCATTCATACACAACAATAACATTTGGATTTAGTTACTCAGCCACAAGGGTTTAAAAAACAGTCAGTGACCGCAAAAACGGCCGCGACAATACCGATACTGCAATTCACCATTTTTATTTTAAAGAACAAATTGTAGTTAATTCACACTGCGATAAGCACTTGTACCGAAATTCACAAAGGCTTCACAAGACCTAAAAACCCGACAGTTTTCTAAAACCTTTGCTTACCCATACATACAACAATCAATTACCCTACTCAATTTCAAAACAAATGATGATAATTAATAAACTCACATAACCATTGAACTGCTGAACAGCAGCTTGAACTTCAGCAGCAGAAGACATAGTAACAAACCCAAATCCCCTGCTTCTACCTGTAGTCTTATCATAAATCACCTACAAAAACACAACAATTTCAAATTTTGACACAAACCCAATATTCTTCATCCACAAGGTAACAAACAAACAAAAAATTCAAAAACTACCTCAACCATCTCAACGTTCCCGGCACTTTCAAAAATCTCTGCAAGTTGAGCACTATCAACACTGAACGGAAGGTTCCCAACAAACAGCCGCTGGTTGGCAGAGTAATTCCTTGTATCTCCATCATCAAAAGTATCCACCTCCTGCTTAAACTCCGACGAAACCGCAACACGGGAAACGAACCGGTAACTCAAAGACAGCGTTTTACGAAGGGAGACAGATGAAAACGGTTTGAAATCCTTGTTGAGTGAGAACGAAGGGAGTGAAGAGAAACATTGTGGAGTTTTGGTTCGGAGAGAGGGAAGGGCTAGGGAAGTTGCAGAGGTAGACATTGTTGGGGAAATGGATAAGGTTGTAGGGAGGGGAATTAGGGTTTATTGTGTGAGGGTTTAGCGAAATGGTGTGAGAAGTGTGATATTTATGGGAGGGAAGGGAACGGTGGGAATCAAAGTATGAAAGGATTCATGGTGATAAGGTAAGATATGGTATTGTGTGATTTTACTCATTTGTCCTTTGTAATCGTAAGATATTTTTATTTGTGTTTTAGATAAATGTTTTGTGTATACGTGGACGTTGGAAAATCAATATTATAGCTAATTTATGAAAAAATGCATGGGATTGTGTGATTACAAACCTCTCTTAAATTATTGAAAAAAACAATTTCACACCACCACTAGAGCCTCTAGATCATTCTACAATGTGGTGCATGAAATATGGTTGTCAAAGCGATGGTGTGTGATCTGGACTGGACTTACGTTTGTCCTACGAAAAGAAGGCCCAAACGGTCTAAGTTAGATATTGTGCCCCATCTAACCGTTGGAGGACGTGGCCCACCACGTCTCAACGGACACATCAAACTGTTCATCGGGAATTTCGGATCCAACCCTATTCTCGCGGAGCGGTTGATCAGGGGGAACCCATTTGCTGAACTTCATACTCACGTAAATCTTGACAGTTCCCGTTATTGGGCCTCTGCGTGGCCCAATAGTGGGGACCTTGGCCCAGCGCTGGGGGCTATAAATACCCTCTCTCATGAGAGGGTCAAGTATTCATTCATTCACACCTATATACTCACTTGCTTGCTCATTCCGTCTCTCATTTTACCATCGGAGTGTCTTGCAGATACCCCCTCATCTCCTTCAAATCCAGCTCGAAGCCAGCTGTGACGGTCCAACTCTGATCAGGTACGATCAGTGGCGCCGCCTGTGGGAAACTAAGCTTCCCCGTCTTCTCTTCACTTAAAAGACCAAAGCTAAAACCATCCTCGACTGTCATGGCTGACCAGACTCAGGACAACCAGAACGTCCGCGTCATCAAGGCTAACAACAACATCACCGATAATAATGTCAGCCCCGACAACACCGACATCACCGGCCATAACACGGTCCCCGGAGGCAACATCCTCGGGCCTTCTAACTACCGAGACGGAGCCACGGCTTCATCTTCATCAATCCCTCCTCGGCTTGAAGAAGATCACCCAGTTCCTCTAAACTATCCATCCGTCCAATTCCACGAAGTCCCTATCCCCGCCGGGGCAGACACCACGATAAGGGAACTGTTCGTGGCGATTAATCAGACCAACTATCTTATCTTTGCCCAGGGGGAAAGATTGAGAGCACTCGAAGACGACCGAAGGCCCCCTAGAAGACACAGGAGGCCTCAATCTCCTCCCCCTTGACAAACGGAGGAACGTCCCCGATCTCCCCCGTGGAGACAGAATTGGGACATCTCTCGAAGCCCGTCGCCTCGACCAATCGGGCGGTGACCCCCCTTGGAGAGGGAACCATTCATCGAAGCAGGAAGGCGCGACCACGGCCCTTCGCGGCAAGAACGAAGACCTCCCGGGGACAGACACGGAGGAAACTATCAACGGTCACATCGCTCAAGGAACGTTCCGCACGACCAGGGCCACCGTGACCGACAATACATCGGATCCCTGTCCCGCTCCCCGGAACGGAGTGACAAGGACAACCCCCGCGGTCCCTTGTCACAAGCTATCATGGAGGCGCCCATTCCCCCAGGCATGGAGAAGCCTCCCCACTTAAAAGAATATGACAGCGTTGTCGACCCGGTCGACCATATAGATGAGTTCGAAGCCATGCTGCACTATCACAACATCGGGGGACCAATCAAATGTCGGTTGTTCCCCACGACCCTGAGGAAAACAACTATGGACTGGTACAAGGGTCTCGCCCCGGGGTCAATTACCTCGTGGCGAAACTTGAAGAACCATTTCATCAGCTCGTTCACTGCTTCGCGACGACACCCGAAGACCGAAGCGGCGCTCGAGGCCATCGTCCAGAAGCACGATGAGACCTTGAGGGAATTCATTAACCGCTTCAACCGGGAAGCCATCCAGGTCCCATGCACGAACCATATGAAGAGATACCTGCTGGAGAGGGGGCTCCTCCCCGACACCGAATTCAGAAAAGTTGTGGGCATCGAACCACGCTGAACGTTCGATGCCCTCCTCGAAAAGGTCAGAGCCTACATGGACTATGAGGAAAGGGAAGCGGCCAACAGAGCCCGAGACCCCAGAAACCGCGGATCTAGCAGAAATCCGCGATAAGATACCACCCCCCCACGATGCACCGGGGAAAAGAGAAGGGACGATAAACCCCGGGACGCCCGGGAGCAGAGGGGGCCCTCGGGACGGTTCACAGAATACACTCTGCTCACGACTTCCCGCGAGCACATCTTAGTGGAGTGCGCAAGTACAGATTTCAAGGATGGCGGCGTCAAACTTCCTCGTCCAACTCCTGCCAAACCCGGGGTGGACCAGAGCAAATACTGTCAGTACCATCGGAGCCACGGCCATCTGACTGAAGACTGCATCCACCTCAAGGACGCCGAGACCCTCATAAAAGGGGGGAGACTCGCACAGTACCGGCGAAACGACGCTCCTCGTCGGGACGCCCGTGAGACGAGGGAAGCAGAAGAGGATGTCTGACCATATGACGAGTCGGTTCCCATCCAAAATGCGTTCTTCGTCACAAGACCCGAGGACTTTTACGTCCCCAATCACTTGCAAGAACCTCTGTCGATGCACAACAGGTGGGAACACTTCCCCTCCGCCATGGTCATCAATGGTGGAGGGTTTGATAATCTGACAATAAATTCAGCTAAGAGGAAGCTAGACGAGTTGGTCGACATGGCCCCATCTCAAATGGTGACCTTTGAAAACGTGAGAGGCAGGTCAGAGCCAATCACCTTCTACCTCGAAGAGCTCCCCGGAGGGGCCCCCAATTCGGTCATCCCTCTGCTGATAAGAGCGAGAATGGCCAACTTCGACGTACACCGCGTCCTCGTCGACGAAGGATGTTTTGTCGATGTGATGTACAACCAACTGTTCCGAACCCTACAGCTCGATGACTCTCACCTCTCACCTTACGTGGGGTCGGACCTACAGGGCTTTAACAACTCAACTTCTAAGCCTTAGGGATACGTCGAGCTCATGGTTACATTCGGCGAGGATACGGCTACGAGGCAAGTCAAGGTGTGCTTCCTCGTCATTGATTTCCCCTCCCTCTACAACTACATTCTGGGAAGGCCGACACTGGCGGAGCTGACCGCAGTGCCCTCCACCATCCATTTAAAAATGAAGTTTTACACCAAGAGGGCACGGGTCACCACTATCCAAGGTGACCTAGCAGCTACCCGAAGGTGTTTTAACGCGGCATCCAAGGGACGCGACACGGTCGACACCAGCACAAGGCCCGCCAAGAGAGCTGCAACTACACGACCAGAACCTCAGAGGTCAGAGCCCGTCAAAGTAGAAGAGCAGAGAGCCCCTCTAAAGGTCGACTTGATATCCCTGGACACTCGCTTCGACTAGAATGAGCCTCCTAGCGGCGAGCAAGTCTCCCTTCGACCAATTCCAGACAGGGACTTCGAACTCGTTCCCCTCGGTAAAGACCCAAGCAGAGGAGTGAAGATTGGCACCGGACTCCCCGACTTGGCGAGGAAGCAAATCAAGGTTTCTTGCGCGATAATGCAGATTTGTTCGCGTGGAGCGCTGCGGAGATGCTCGGACTCGACCCTGAGGTCGCCTGTCACCAACTCGCCATCGATCCAGCCGCTAGGGCAATAGTGCAACGTAGACGTAGGCAGTCTCCAGAGAAAACGGAGGCTGCTGAAAAAGTTGTAAAAGACCTCCTAGAGGAAAATTTTATTTCTGAAGCTCGGTATTCAACCTGGCTGTCAAATGTTGTACTTGTCAAGAAAAATAATGGAAAATGGCAAATGTGCGTTGACTACACCGATCTTAACCGGGCATGCCCGAAAGATGCATTTCCTTTACCTAATATTGATATACTGGTTGACAACTCGGCCGGTTATAAAATACTATCGTTTATGGACGCCTATTCAGGCTATAACCAAATCCCAATAGCAATAGGCGACAAGCACTTCACCACTTTCATGACCAACTCTGGCAACTATTACTACAACGTAATGCCCTTCGGTCTGAAAAATGCAGGAGCAACGTATCAGCAGATGATGAACAAAGTCTTCGTAACCAAATCGGGGATATGCTCGAGGTATACATGGACGACATGATCGTCAAGTCCCGAGCAGACACAGACCACGCCGCTCATCTCAGGGAAGTCTTTGCTCAAGCGAGGCAATGCAAAATGAGATTTAACCCCGAGAAGTGCACGTTCAGGGTCAAGGCGGGCAAGTTCCTCGGCTTCTACTTGACAGAACGAGGAATTGAAGCCAACCCCGACAAGTGTCGAGCTTTCTCCGACCTCCCCACACCTACATCGAAAAAATCCATACAAGTCTTGAATGGCATGCTCACCTCGCTATCCCGTTTCGTTGCAAAATCCGCTCAATACACCCTCCCTTTCTTCAAGCTCCTTCGTAAGGAAGCGGCCTTCGAATGGACCGAGGAATGCGAGCGGGAGCTGCTCCATCTTAAACAAAGCCTCTCGCAGCCGCCCGTGTTATCACGGCCGGTTGATGGGGAAACCTTATTTCTATACCTAGCCGTCTCGGTCGAAGCCGTCAGCGCAACCCTCATTTGTGAGACGCCCGACGGGCAAAAACCTGTTTATTTCAAGAGAAAAGCGCTTCAAGGGCCCGAGGTTAGATACCAACAGATAGAAAAGGTAGCTCTATCCCTCGTCAACACAGCGAGAAGGCTCAAACATTACTTCCTCGCGCACACGATCGTAGTGCAAACAGACCAGCCCGTAAAACAGCTCCTGGGTCGACCAGACATGGCGGGTCGAATGTTGAAGTGGTCCTTGGGACTTTCTGAGTTCGACATCCAATACGAGAACAGGAAAGCCCTAAAGGCACGGGCTTTGGCCGATTTCGTCGCTGAGAT